TTGTCTGTGGTTTATAAGGGTGGTTGCATGGTTCACGGGACAGTAATATGAACACTTACAAGGAAATTGAGAAATTAACTGCTCAAAGAAATGAGGAACTTCACCTAATTAGAGTTCAAAGAATTATTTGGTTCGGAACTCTCACTTTTCGTTGAGTGGTTCAAATGGTTTATGATTCATCACATGGGGGGATTTTGAAGGTTCTATTTGAACATGTAAATGATTGAGAAAGTTCAAGGACTATACTCATGTGATTAGGAGACTCATCTAAAGGGTTCAAGATCTTTATATAGAGGGTTCATAGGTTTTGCGCGAGCGGTTCGCCAGAGGGATGGAGAACGGGAAAGGGGGGGGGGGGCACCGCTGTAGATCACGCCAAGCTCCCCCAAGATACATGGGGCCTGAATCAGGGTCCCGAACCCACCTAAATCTCGAGGACCCCGAGGGAGCGCCGTCTCGCTTCCGGTCCGCTCGCGAGGGTCGGCTCTTCGCAGTCTTGCAAATACTGGATGTAAAACATTCCTTGTACAAGAAAGATGCGTAGCAAGATGGATTAATGGTTTGATGTTGTAAAGAAATATATATATGATGATGGATGTGCACGATGAATAATAGAGACAAGGCAGGAGTGATGATAAATACTTGCTTGCGTGGAGGAAATGTGATTATATACAGGTCCATGTAAAGAAAACCACACTTACCAGCTGGTGGTTGTTTACGAGTTAGTAGGAATTGGCGTGATGAGGAACGAGCACGAGCGACGGTAAAGCAAATACAAGAAATGTTATGCAGTCGTTCAGGGTCACTTCATTGTAAACACATTTTCTCTCTCTCTCTCTCTCTCTCTCTCTCTCTCTCTCTCTCTCTCTCTCTCTCTCTCTCTCTCTCTCTCTCTCTCTCTCTCTCTCTCTCATTCTCTCCTTCACTCTACCTCTCCCAACTCCCTCCCCCTCTCTCCCTCTCTCATTCTATCTATCTATCTATCTATCTGTCTATCTATCTAAGTATCTCCATCTTTATTTCCCCCTTTCTTTCTCTTACTCTCACATTCACTCTCCCTGTCTCCTTCCTTCCATCCATCAATCTATCCATTCACCCTTCCTCTCCTTCGATTCCCTTCTTCCCTCTACTCCTCTCAACTTCCCTGCCCTTCCCGCTCTCTGACCCTCTTCCTATACGTCCTGTGCTCTATATGTATATTTATTGGCATGGAAGATAATTGTAAATAGTCAGTCAATCTTTCCCTTCTCTTCATCTCCCTCTCCCTCTCTCTCTGATGAATGGCAAAACACTTTCCTGTGTCCATACATTGGCAGAAAATTACATTACGTGTATGTGAAACAGGTTTATTGAAAGAACAAACAGATTTCGAAATTGTCCTGGACGAAACTATTTTGTAACCCTTCACTATACCTATTCTGTGTAGTTTTTTCCTTGGCAGTCTCTCTTTTCTCTTTATCTGTCCATCTACCTCCCTTCTCTCTCTCTCTCTCTCTCTCTCTCTCTCTCTCTCTCTCTCTCTCTCTCTCTCTCTCTCTCTCTCTCTCTCTCTCTCCCTCCCTCCCTCTCTCCCTCCCTCTCTCTCTCCCTCTCCCTCTCCCTCTCCTGCTCTTTCTTGCCCCCCTCTCTCCCTGATGCTGGCACATGAGCATCCACGCCGCGCCTCGGAGACACCGCGAACTGACTGACGCGTTTGACCGGGAAACACACCAGCGGCCCAAATACGGCACGCGGGAGGAGCAAGGACACTCCCAAGTACTACTTCACACACCCCTTTCTTTTATATTTTAGTGCTAGTTCATTAAGGTGTCAGCCGCTAACGCTTCTCTTGTTTTTTTTTGTTTCACTCCCGTCATCCAGTCGGTTCCACCCTCTTTTTCACAGATTTTTCATAAACACACCGGCTAGATGCGGAGGCAGTTGAAGTACGATTACACACTCGAATGAAAATAACCAAGCCACGCCATGATCGCCAGGAACACGATCGCGCCATCCATCATGTGCTTAATTTTTTTTTTTTTCTTCGCTCATGATTAAGAAGTTAGCAAGCGCCGAGTCTGGTTTCACGGAGCGGAGGACCCAAGGGCTCGGAGGAGCTGTCCCTGACTTTGGGGTTGGGATCCTGTGCAGGGACGAGAAGGAATTGGTAAATGAAGTATGGTTTAACAAGAATGAGATGGAGGAGAAAAAAAAAAGGATAGGAGGGGGGGGCGAGCAGGATAAGGATTAGTAGTGGACATTTCCAGGTATTGAGTGAGACGGGAGTCTGGAAGCTGTGATACCTGTGGTATTTCCTCTGGAGCAAGTGGTATTGTCCGAGCGGTGTGACTCATTCCTTGACTGCCTTTTTTTGGGCTCTTTCTTCCTTTTCGGATTTGTTAATCAGTTGGAATGTTATCACCCGATAGCAGTTAAACAACGCGATAACAGTGCATACTATTGACAGCTCTATGTATTTCTGATATTCCGCATTTGCATAAGTTGTAAATTGCGATTGTGTTCAAAGCGTTTTATCAGAGACTTGAAAATTGATGTTTCCCATTTTCGGCGAGTCTCTGCCATGTAACGCGCCATGCATGAGTCAGGTGATCGCTCATGCCTCATGCTGTCCTTGTAGACAAAAGTGGCTAAAACAGAAATGGAAAGCTTGCCCCCGGCCTTGACCCGGCTAAAAATCACTGGTAACACGTAGAAGTTATTGTACGTACATGTGAGACCGGTAGATAAGTTATCTCGGAACACGCCTTGGCTCGGTTATGACAGGCAGCAGTATTCACTGTAATAAATTTGCAATGACGCCTGTGGATTTTTTTAAATTGGATTGCGCTGCAGTTGCATCACTCAGATTATAGTCGTCGGAAAGTCGAGTGGCATTTATTCTGCATTTTCCGCAGTTCTGCCTTACTTCGATCGGGTCTTGCGATGGGTGTGAGGGTGGCAGGAAAAAGAAGATTTTGTTTTGCTTTTTCCACAGAGTCGTTCGTGTGGCGCCCGCGGCAGTGAGACGTGTTTCTCTTCGCTTTTTGCGTCGACCATAACCTTGGTGCGTTTGCTTGTCTATCTTGTTGCTTTTGTCGAGTGGGTGTGATGTGTAATTTTATATTTCATTAAAACAAATACAAGCATATTCATTGTCTGTACAATATTGAAAGACAGAACGTTCATTCAATCCGCTATTTGATTGCAAGCACGAACATTTGCCGAGTAGCACTTTACCTAGAGTTTGGCGTGCGTCTGGTCACATCGGCTGCAGCAAGTATGGACAGTTCTTTCATCACTGAAGTGTTGCCACATACTCCTCCTGAAGTCTTGTTCGCTTCTTCTCTGATGGAAAGTGCATATCGAGAAACATGGGGGCGCATTACCGAATTTTCTTTATTAACCCTATATTTATATTGCTTGCTCCGTATTGAATTTCTATTTTGTTTGAGACAACTTTTTTCGAGGATTAGTGTTGCAATAAGTGACTTTATATACATGGGCTTATGATATCTTGATATATGCTTTGAAAATAACAAGAAATCATGATTTTACCGCTTCACTAGGATATGCCTCCTGCTTTGTCTTGTCACGTTCTGTATTTCCCCCAGCTTAGGAAATTTATGATAACAAGAGCGGGCCATTTGCAAAACATGAGGGTAGCGTCATATCACAAAGAAGTCTTACGTGTCGGTTAGAATAATTTTAGCTCAAAAATGACGTCAGCTGCATGTAATGCATTTGGATAAGAATGTGGATATTTAGTTATTTTCACGTATTTGAACAACACTCGTTTGCAAGAAATGTTTTGTTTAAAAGATCAAGTTGGGATAGGTCAACAGAAGGAAAGCAACTTAGCGAATGATTATTTCTCTACCATGCTTTCTCTTGGACTCACGATGTAGGGGACCTGGACAACAATGCCACAGTAACGTGCCTGTAGAGTATTTACCTCCCTCCCCCCTTCCCGCTATCTCTAACCTCTCCCCTCATTCCTCTCCCCTGCTGGCCATCATGCGAGGGTCGATCCAGCTCAGCGCCCAAGTGAGGTTGTGGCTTGTCTGGAGCATGGCCGCTTGCGTGTCGGATCAGTCTCCTTTATGGATCACGAGTCGGGGAATAGGGCGCGCGAGACCCCAGTGTGCGCGGGCTTCCTCTCCCTCCGCCGTTTTCTGTGTGGTTTCTCGTTTATTTTTTTCGTTCTCCCTCGCTCTCTCTTTTCTTTGTCTTCTTTCCTTTAGCGGGATTTTTTTTTTCTTTTATAGAGTATGTTTTTGTCATCGTGGGTACGCGACGTGATGTTTTTCTCTTTGTCCGGTGCTGCATTATTTCTTAAGTGATGTTTTAATTCTCTAAGTTAATTCTGCAAGAGTACCTCTTTGGATTTCACATTATTAATATTTTTACGTGTGTGTGTGAACGCATGCGTGCGTTTGCGCATTTGTTTATTCTTATATTCTTATGTTTATTCTATTTTTTCTCCATTCCGATGAAATTACTCTAACCTTTACTTTTTTTATTTGATTTCTTCTACCATAAACAATCGACGTATAGATAATAGTTATAGAAAATGACAGGATCTGACATCCCTTGAGATATTGCGCTCAGAAGAGTCAACAAGGCTGAGCACTTTATATTCCAGACCTCGATATTGGAAATTCATTTTCTCTGAAATGGGTACACTGTATTGAGATTTTTATTACTAGCAAGACACGGCTGCTTTGATTTCTGAGGTTTATTAAGTAGATTGAAGGCATGCGGGTTTTTATTGTTATTTTGTATCTTTGTTATTTGCATATATTTGGCTGTTGCTACGATGATTTCTTATGCCATTGGTCATAATTGTCTTCAAAGAGACTAGTATGTCCTATATTTCATCTCAGATTCTTGGGTTCGTAGAACACAGCTGATAAAAGTTTATAAAAAACGACTAATATTTGATTGTACCTTAACAGTTTCTTCAGTTTTAGCAGTAGGGTAACCTGATCAAGTTGATTAAAATTCAGTTCCCCATTTTTCAGCGGGATGACCACTCCCGAGGGGAAGGAGGGCGCGGGCCCCAACGGGCAGCCGCCGCAGTCGTGGGTGCAGTTCGACGAGGAGGACGGGAACCAGCAGGCGCCGGCGTCCAGGGCCGACAGCACGCCCGCCGTCATCGACGCACAGGCCGTCCAGGTCCGGGGCTTCTTCTTTCGTTTTTAGTTTTGCTCTCTGTTCCTTGTTTCCTCTTTTGTTATATGGGTCTCTCTTGCATTTTCTTATGACGGCTTTATATTTTTTTCGGTTTTATTTATTTATTTATTTATTTAGTAAGACTCTCTTTCTTTCTTTCTTTCTTTCTTTCTTACTTTTGTATCCATCTTCCCTCCCTCCCTCCCTCCCTCCTATCTCCCTCCCTTCCTCCTCCTCTTTCCCTCCCTCCTCCTCTTTCCCTCCCTCCTCCTCTTTCCCTCCCTCCTCCTCTTTCCCTCCCTCCTCCTCTTTCCCTCCCTCCTCCTCTTTCCCTCCCTCCTCCTCCTCTCTCCCTTCTCTCTTTCTCTCTCCCTTCTCTCTTTCTCTCTTTCTCTCTTTCTTTCTTTCTTTCTTTCTTTCTTTCTTTCTTTCTCTCTTTCTCTCTTTCTCTCTCTCTCTCTCTCTCTCTCTCTCTCTCTCTCTCTCTCTCTCTCTCTCTCTCTCTCTCTCTCTCTCTCTCTCTCTCTCCTCTCTCTCCCTCTCTCTCTCTCCCTCTCTCTCTCTCCCTCTCTCTCTCTCTCCCTCTCTCTCTCTCTCCCTCTCTCTCTCCCTCTCTCTCTCTCTCTCTCTCTCTCTCTCTCTCTCCTCTCTCTCTCTCTCTCTCTCTCTCTCTCTCTCTCTCTCTCTCTCTCTCTCTCTCTCTCTCCTCTCTCCTCTCTCCTCTCTCCTCTCTCCTCTCTCCTCTCTCCTCTCTCCTCTCTTCCTCTCCCTCTCTCCTCTCCCTCTCCCTCTCCCTCTCCCTCCTCTCTCTCTCTCCTCTCTCTCTCTCTCTCTCTCTCTCTCTCTCTCTCTCTCTCTCTCTCCTCTCTCCTTCTCTCCTCTCCCTCTCCCTCTCCCTCTCTCTCTCTCTCTCTCTCTCTCTCTCTCTCTCTCTCTCTCTCTCTCTCTCCTCTCTCTCTCTCTCTCTCTCTCTCTCTCTCTCTCTCTCTCTCCTCTCCCTCTCTCTCTCTCTCTCTCTCTCTCTCTCTCTCTCTCTCTCTCTCTCTCTCTCTCTCTCTCTCACTCTTGTTTTCACTCTCATGCACATGTCTGACATTTCTCTCTTGTCATTCTCCAACAATACCAAATGAAGCCTGTTTATACAATTTGTTTGAGCTCAAAAGGAAGACAGAGAAAAATTACATATTTTTTTTATATTACTGTTAAGTTGTTCCTTGTTCAACTAAATAGATTAACAGTATATTCAATGAAAAGATCCATGACTTATATTGAGTTGTATTTTAATACTCTTATGTAAATATGAATATACATTAGTCAAACTCATAATCTGTAAACATGGTGTGAGGAAACTTCATATCCAGCCTCTTAGTGGAACTTCGAGCTAAGAAGCTGTTATTTCCAAATATGTAGTAGTACTTCATGATCAGAAATAAGGTTTGATTGATATTCAGTTTTCAAGACCATAAGATCACATTTTGTGCACTTTTTGAGTCTATAATATTCACAGCATATCTCAAAACATCATGACAAGGTCTAGTATTGACCAAGCCCTGTGTTTGAATGTGTAGGCTCATAATGGTGTAACAAAAGATGTGTATAAAAGTTAACACATCTGATGTTGCAGACTTCACGTTATGTGAGCAGGACAACCAACTCCCTTTTTGCTTTTGAAGACATGAGTAACCTTTTAGCATTATCAGTTTTCCTCTAATGTTTGGTGATATCAACAGGTGAGCCTGGAGAACCACAGCACAGACAAAAATGTGTCAAGAACGGTCTCAGAACCAGTTAATGGAGTGCGTAAAACTTCAGTAACTTCACCAACAACGCCCTCCAGTATCACCTCAGATACGCGAGTTACAATGTCGCAACTCAGCCCAGCACAACTCCATAATGTCCCTCTACATGACCCTTCAGCACGGCCACCTGCCAATGCTCAGCCTGTGATTAGACAAGGATTCTGTAAGTACCTTTTCATTTGCAGATTACTTGTATTATGTAAAAATTCAATATAATTAATACTATAAGAAAAAAAAATTAACCACTAAAAAAAAATACATCTTTTTTTTTTCAGCAAATGGGGATGTAATTGTAACGTTATTACCCCAGAACACTTCATTGCCATGGGTTACTCCAGCACAGTTCAGGCCAGAACTTGTTCCTGAAGAGCTGATGGCTCAAGGCCTCACAGTGAGTTATCAGATTTGTTTTATTTTCTGTTCTGAAAAGAAAAGTTGCATTAGTAATTTGATAATAGATAAACCATAAACTCCTCCATGTATAGATAACATTCTTTCTTTTTTGTTAATAGAAATATATTAAAAGAAAAATATATTGATTAATCTCTTACTTTCCAGCTTACAGTTGAAGACTATGTTCACATAATGTCTCAGCTGGTCAATGACTACCGTTTCACCTTGTATAATGTGTGCTACAAGCGTATCCTCATGGCCTGGATCATCTTGGGTTTTGTTATCCTTTTGGGTATCCTCTTCTCAGGCCTGACTCAATTAAAATTATTTGGTGCTGGAATTGGCTGGCTGATGGTTAACGCAGCTGCGATATTTTTCTGTATGTGGGTGAAGATCCAGGTAGGTTTATGTGTTGTATGCCTGTTCTTATATTTTTTTTGGAGTATGCTGTATTTTTTGTATTGTGGTATTTTCCTGGTTAGGTTTGGTATTCTATGTATTAAACTATGTTTTGAATGTTCAAGCAATTTTTTTTCTTCATAATTTTCTGTAATGCTTTGAAGAGAAAAACAAAGAAATATAATAGCTGTCATTTACTTTCCATTTTGATTTATGTAAAGTTTAATAGATCACAGTGATAAAATATCAAGAAATTAGATTATCTGGTTCTTAACATACTGTGAGTGCCAGCCATGAAATTTTTCTGGTTAGCACAGGGGTAACACAAGTATCTTATATATTGCTAGCCAGTGATCATACCCAGATCAAGAGGTTGGGTTGCCTATTAGGGTCTTCCTGCTTATTGCAGGACTGTCTTGGCCCCACATGTGAATGAGGAGGGGCTGTGGGTCATATAATGCTTACAGTAGAGTGCATATCATTGAGTACCTTTAATCCTTTAAGAGCTTTTAATATAGGTTTTGTCCTCCCCTCCCCCCATATGCAGGGGTAATTAATTATCCAATATCCTAATAGTATTGTACTTTATTTATGTATGTCTTTTTTCATTTTCAAATTAGACCATATATTTCTTAATGCTTTATTTTATGTGCCACAGCTGAACAAATCATTAGAACGTTGCATTGCTGGAATCAACCTCCAGCTTCTGAGACATAAGATTCTATTAGGTCTGGATGACCGAGGGAAACTCTCTTGTCACAAGGTCAATCTCTGCTTCATCTATTTTGATACTCATGATTGCGTGGTAAGTATCATTGAAAGCTATCATATCTTCTTCCTCTAATGTGCTTTTATATTTCCTCCTTTTAGTTTGTATGATTTTGAAGCAGAGCAATGAATATTTTACTTCAGTAATAATTCACTGTGCTCACTCAGCCAACTTTTAATGATGAAGTTTTTTTAAGTGGTGGAAACAGTTAAGGGTTTTAAGTTTTAATTATTGGCCAAAGGGAAGTCTAATACCAATATATTTTGTCATATTGATGTGATATTTCAGTAGTTTTATCACTAAATAGTAGTTGTATATCCTAACAATCAGTATCCCTATAGAGTTATTACTACTATTACTAATGTTCACTTGTAGAAAGTTTTATCTAAAACCAAGATAAAGACAGAGTTCATAAAGATAGTCTGAGAATATGACATCTTATTCATCTCTTGTAGGCCAAGTTGCAAGAGATTATTGAGCAAGAGGAGCGGGCTGGACGCACTGTGAATAGCGAGGAGGCCAAAATGTCCCCTCTTCACCAGCGCATGGATATTGATGACTCCGACATTATCATCACAGGAGCAACTAACACCCGCATCTCAAGGCAACAAGTAAGTCCTTTTTTGAGCAGATCATTTGAATACTGATACTGAAATACTAAAGATGTTGTTTTGTATTTTCTTCTGTAATTGATAGCTTTTAGAAATCTGTTAGAATTTAATGTTGCAACTCAGATGTTATGCATGACAAGTCATTGTTTGGATGGACCCTTGTGTTTCATGTTTTTAGTTTGTTAAATGTTGATTGGGAGCTGGAAATATTATTGCTGTTTTTTTTATCTATTATCATGAGCTTTTGTTCTTGGGAAAGAAATATGTTTTTTTTTAACAGTAGTTTATTATGATATTCATTTCATAATGATCACTTGAGATTTCTATAGCTAACTTAATGTAGACATTTATCAAATGCAATGGTGTCATGTGTTTAGACAGTATTATGTAGTCATAGCACTTATTCTGTGTAAAGAATACATGCACATAGAAGAATATGTGCATACTGTATAGTTATACAGAAATATATTGGGACTCATGACCTATGGTTCCACAGTTTTTGGAAAGAAAACAAATGGCATAATAGTTAAATGACATTATTGTGCTAGCATTTGACAGTAATCAAACATAGTTCATTAGCTTTTAGTTTATCATGAATACTGGTAAAGGTGATAAGATAGAAGTTGCATATTTACATACTTTAGTTTCCAGTGATCTGTTTTAAGGAGAAGAATAAATCTGGTAAACTCCAAGGCTATTTAAAAGTGGGTGTTTCATTTGCAGGATTTATGTGAGCCAGTTATATTGTTTTTTTGTTTTTTTTTAGATTATTTGTTTCCTTCAGTTATTTATTAATAGAAATTTAGATGCTTTTCAAGGCTACAAAGTATTAATGTAACCTCATGTTTGTGACTTGAAATTCATAATCTATATCAATTTTCTCTATCAGATAGCTGATGGGTTTATTATATGATAGAAATATATTGCTCCCAGTGAGAATTTCTTTCTAGAATATATATACGTATGCCATTTTCTTGTAAATGTTGAAACACCTAAAGAAATACATATGTATATATTCACCTTTCACTTTTATTGTTTAATTATTTTACTGTCAAGCTTTTATACCTCAACACTCATGATGTTTGGTAATGATTATTGAGAATCTTTGTTTTCTTCTTCTAACAAACAGAAAATTGATCATGAATTGTGAATTTAGTTAGTTAATAGCAATTCCGATAAAGCTGTAAAAGGGGATATCATTACTAATAGAATTTGTATATGAATTATATTTTTGAACTGTGAGGTAAAATAAAAGGAATAGCATGAGGTAATAGAATGGGATATTTTTTTTCTTTTCTTTTCTTTTCTTTTCATTTACTTTACTTATCATACAATGTAGTCTCTCAGAAAATTGCAAACAAATTATTTGCCTTGGATAGTTTCATGATTTTATTTGTGGGAGAATTATTTAAGAAAAACTTTGATTTGCCAGAATATTAAATCACATAGCCATACCTTCAGAGGGTAAGTTGATTATTGGCTCCTATATTCTGCTTAAAGATCATTACATTTACAGTAAGCTTATTATATTACAGTAGCCATGAATCAGCATAACTACACAAAAACAATCAGTATGCCTGCTTATTATTATAGTAGTCATCGATATTACATTTGCTTTCCCTTGACTTAGGCTTTTGAGCAGTTGTCCAGTTTAATCCTTATCTCACATGCAGAAAAGATATCATATTTCCAACCAAGACCATCTAACTCATGTTTGCAGAACCAGCCAAGTTGGTATTGATACCAGATTTTATTATTATTTTTTTATTAAATATCCCTTTCAGCTCCAAGAATTACAGTTGAAGGGAATGATTTAGGTTTTCAATTAAAACAAGATGCGATGATCATATGAACACACATTTTGGAAGTGAAGTTATTTGATTTTAGTAAGATGCATTCTCAACAATGTGGAAACATTGGGTGCAATTACACCTTTAGAATTAGATGTTCACCTTTAGGTTCAAAGCAAAATCAACCCTGCAGTGGGGTTCATTATTTTGGTAGGCTGGCGATCACCTTTATATTGTGTTGCATATACATATTCATCCTTTTTGTGCTTTATCCATATTTTTAAGTTTCTGTTTCATATATAGGCTGTAAAATATATCAGAATTAGTATTGATTTTTATGTAAATTCAGAGTAGATTTATGGTAAGCTTTTGTTTTGTTGCTTTGGATTTCTAGCTTGCCTAGCAAATTTGATATTTCATGAAAAGACTTTTATATTGTGATTTTTTGCTATTAACTTATATTAAGCAGATTAACACTGCCCATGCAGGATATATATTACATATGTACAAGATGCATGTTGCATGTAGCTGGATATTTGCATGTTGTTGCAGGAGAGAGCGGAATTTTTACTCACTCGGTACAGCCAGCGCTGGGCCAAGGACTACCTTCGCAAGAGATTGGACTGGGCCTTTGATGCATCAGCAAGGTTGGAGGGTCTCTCTCCACCAGTTTTGCCCCGTCACCTGGCTGCTGCCCGTTGCCTCTGCCAGTACATTGAGGAGCATCTGTCAGTCAAACTTCCACGCCAACAGCGGGCTTCCCGTGAACACTGTGCTTGCATAACACAGTTCTGCCGAGATGCCGAGCTATAAATTAATACATTGGGCTCAGTTTCAAAGGAATTAATTTTTCATTTTGCTTAAGTATTAATTAGTTTCTTTTGTACAGTAAAGAATTGAAAGGAAAAGTAGTAAAGAAAAATATTTAAAGGTTTAGAAAAAGAAAGCCCAATTTTCCAGGTGTCTTGTGAAAAAACATTAATCCTGCTCAGGATATCAATACTACTGCATGAATTTATATTACAATATTAATATGATTCAATTCTTCATCAATTGCACTTCCAAATACATTTAACAATTAAGAATATTACATTGTTATATTATGTGAGGCATAGTTCATACTAAGAACATTGCATATATCTATATTTTTTAAAGTATGTATCAAAAATATTCTTAATGTCATGTTAGAAACTTATGTTAGGGGCATTGAACCAAACTACATTTGGTATGAATGGTAGATTTATGTAAATATATTTTTTCAATCACTGCAGGTAGATTTGTTTTCTTAGATGAAACATTACATTCCATTCAGAACATTCCTTCAACTGTATTTTGGCCATAGACATACCATGGACATAAACTCACACTTGTAAACCTTTCATGATGCAGGATGTTCATATTTATTACTTTTGCATGCATAAATTGATAAATGTGTTTGCTATTCAAGCTAAGGAATCTATATGCATGCTGAAACAAATATGTTCAGTCTTGAGCATGAATGCACACTGAAACTGTTTTTCTGTGATTATTTCTATCTATTTGTTCTATGATCAGAAACTTTATTCATTCCAGTGTAATAAAGATCTGTTATAGATGTTCTTTATAGTTTTTAAATTTTGCCAATAATTATTTCTTTAATTAGTAGCTAGTAACTTCTGTTAGTGTTATTTTCTTCTATCCACTCAATTATTAAGACATCTTGTTCTGCAGTATCATATTTTAATCATGACCGGAATCATTCTTTAACACATCATCAATCAGAGTGATATATATATCTGGGATATCTTGAAGGTGTTGGTAATTTTTGGATTGAATTTGATATGATCGTATTTGCTAATACAGACATCTTAGTGGAACTTTAGGGAAATTAGTTTTATGTTGATATGCTCTTTCATCAGCTTCTTTTATCTGTCTTATCTTTACTAATATTTCTTAACACTGGTCTGGCATGGCAGTAGCGTGGTTTGGCTGAAGGTGCAACTCCAATATGTATATGGTATTGCAACATATATTCTGTCTTTTAAGTACATTTCAAATAACAGGTTTTCCTGTAATTTTTGCAGGGAACAGTTCTGGAAATGTACTTATTAGATTTCAAGTATACAATAAAGTAAAGGTTTTAATGCCTGGAAAATTTGTGGTAGATAGGGCCATCTTAAATGCACTCCAAGTACATGAATTACTAGATAACAGTTATAATTATAACAACTTTGAAAGCCCGTATTAAAGAAAATAAATTAACCTTGGCCCAGAGCTGACCACACAGTGAAATTTGGTAAAAAAGGAAAAGGTTTGTATTTACTTGTTGCTTTCTCTCATATGATTGTTTATGTGCTAATAAAAAAGGTGTGTTAGGAAATGCCATTGTATTCCTTACCTGTTTTCTAGAGTATTTTTTTGTGTAAAGGTCAAATTTTTCATGGTAATGTATTGTGCAGGGACTGTCTAGTGGAAGCCAAGACTTTAATGTGAATTGAATTAATGTTCATTAAGCAAATGTCATGTTACATTTTACAATTGTTTTTAATATATGTCTGTAGTGGTTTAGTACATTCCTTTTGTTGTTACATCAGGACAGAGCACGTATTCTACTAGCGCGATATAGTCAACGTTGGGTGAAGGGAGTAGCTCGAGGGTCTCTGTCAATATCAAGTGATGCAAGTGACTCCACTAGTCCTCCTTCATTACCTCCTCGCCACAGTTCCTCAAAACAGTGCCTGTGCCAGTATATTGAAGACCACCTCCACTACAAGCCACAAGGTTTGTGCAAGATACTTTGCACCTTCTGTATACTTCCAGATGTAAACTGAAATGCTGGGTTATGGTGACACTCAAATGGGATTTCTTGGAGACTATACTGCAACAAGTGAACCTCAGTAATGAACCTTCCATCTTAAAAGCATATGTTTTGGAAACACTAACTGATGAATTCCACATGTTTATGGAATTTCATTGTTAAGGGCATCCACTCTGGGTAACGGCCGCCACCTGCCAGAACCAAAGTCTTTTGAAAGAAGGCACCGTCCTAGCCCTTGCAAGAGAGTTTGTGACATAAAACCGAATCATTACTGAGGATTCTTCATTTGTAGACTGCTTAACCCTGGCTATCAAGGCTGTGTCTTTTTCCTTTTTCTAGTCCAAAATTCTACCTGTATTTTTTCTGTAATGGGCTTTGTATAAAAGTATGAGGTTTTCAATATTAAGTTATATACTTAGGTCTTACTGTCTAAATTCTTTACTTTAGTAATACTCTGACAGATTACTTAAATTTTCTAATATGCAGTCAAACTTAAGGAGTATACTTATTGGCTGAGCACTGATGCAGAGTGATGATCATCCATACTGAAAAATTATGTTCATATGTTTACCAAAAAGAAATAGAAATACAAAAAAAATAATCAGACAAGAGAAAGGCTGCTAAACTTCATGAAATTGCGAAGTTGTGTTAGATATTTGAAGACCATTCTCCTGCATGATGAAATGCTTCCACTATAATGATGTTCAATAATTAGCCAAACTATAGAAAGCAGTTTCCTATTCCACAGTACCATTGTAAACAGAACTTAATGATAAGTATTCAGTGCAGTGTTTCATTATATGAAAGTAAAAAATATTGTCATGCATATCATGAAGCTCATGAACACTTAACTAATTTCTGTTTATGTGGTTGAGAATTGCAAGTACATAATTTGGATAGTTTTGGAAGGTTTATGCATTGTTATTAGTTGGCAAGTATTATCTACAGGAAAGCTTTATTGAAAAAAAGAGAAACTGTACTTAGCCTGTCACAGTTATGATAAAAGGGCAGTTTTGTATGTAGTATTTCTTTAATTATTTTGTAAATGTAACATAGATATTACCTTTCCACAATGTTTTCCCTTTCTATATTTTATTTTCAGTTCCCAGTTCATTTTTTTTTTCTAGTTAGTCTCTTTCTTCAGCTGTCCACCTTAGCCTTCATTTTCTCTCTCTTTACTTAAATCTTTCTCTTATTCCTGTCCTCCTTATTTTCCTTCTCATAAGTTTTATTCTAGATTTTCATTTCATCTTCCTCTTCCCCCCCTTTTTTTATTATTTTCTTGCTTTAATCTTCTCCCATTTCTATTCTTCTCTCAGTTTCTCTCATTCTTTACCCCGCCCTCCTTTATTTCATCCATTATTTTAAACATTCTGAATTTCATGAGAACTCCAAAAGACAGCTTTTTGCTCATTACTTGTTGCTTCCCAGATTGCTCAGGTCATATTTATTTGTGTCAGTGCTTCATATCCTCCATCTTGGGCTTGAAATTGAAAAGTGTAACCAGAAAGGAAACTAACAGAAATGTACAGTATTACCATGACTTCTATCAGATTCATATTATCAACTCAGAAAGGCCTTGCAGCTAAAGACAATTTTTACATTTATACGAGGGATATTGTCTTAAAATAAAAAAAACTCTGTGAACGAGTTTATTAGTTGATTCATATGCTTGAGAATTATTTTTGATATTTAGTGTGAGTAGAAGAAAGTTATAAGCTTCAATGTTTACTGTGTATTTTATTAGCTCAGAATGTTGAAGTTATATAAGAAAATTAATAAATGAAAAAAATAACCATGAACAGTACTCAGGTACCTTACAAATTCTAAATCATCAACCTGTCAAAAATTTGTATAGCATCTTTTACATGAATTCATTTATGTGTTATATGGAGACTTATTGTATATGATAGTGATATTTTCCATTCCTTTTAATGTATATTCCATTGTGATTAAAATGGCAGCAGTTGTCTTCATATATTTTTTTTTTTCACAACCGACCCCTTATGTGATATTACATTCTTATTTTCCTTGAAATGAATTTTTTCTAAGCTGAAATCAAGTCTTCCTTTTTTATCAGTTTACCCTCCTCTTTTGGATCAATTTACCAACATTGGTACATAGATGATTTCATTATTTGCAGAAGGGAAAAAAAAATGTAACACTAATTTTTGTTCTGTATGGCCTGTTTAAAGAAATATGCTTGTATTCTGGTTACATTTCCAGGTATAAGTTCAGGGGAATATGATTTTAAAGCTAGAAAAGGTACTATCATACGAATAATTAAGAAAAGCATGGAGTTTAAAAACAAAAGCCACTCTGTGTGTGGGTGTCTGTGTGTCTGTGTCTGTGTCTATACATGTGTCTATGTCTGTGATTTGAGGTAAAGACAGAGAAAGCAAGAGAGAGAATGAATATGCATGTTTGCATGAATGTTCTTCATGCAAAGAGAAAAAAAGAAATGATTAAGAGATACCAAGATTGTGAATGGTATAAATTTTATGGTATGCTAATATGTTTGTATGACATCATTATAGAGTGCAGTGTTTGAACTCAATTGCTTTTGATGCAATCTTGAATATAGTTTAAAGATATGATATAGCACAGGCTAGTGACAGTTGCTTTTCACAGTATCCAATAATGTTATGGGTTATGTACATATACTGTATAGCACTTTCTGTCCCTGCAGGGTTATTAATTAATGGCATTATTACAGCTTGTTGTTGAATGTGGGCAACGGTGAGAGAAAGGTACTAATTTTAACTCAGCCTGCACTTTCTTAAATGTTGCCACTAGATTACTGCACTTAGGTATATGTCATAGTAAAGTTTGATCACTTCTAAGTTTGCCATTTTGGTTATATTTTTTATTCTTTATTTTCATATTATATTATATTTTCTTTATAATTAGTTTTTAAAATCTTTGAATGATTTGAGAAATGAATTTTGATAAGAAGTAGGAAAGCTTTTGTTTTTGTCAGTATTTTATTGTGTTAAGGAGTACTAGCTTATAATGAGAGCATCATTTTTAGAGGATATATTGAGTTTACAAGTATATTTTTGTCTTAATACAAAAATCATTGTGCATTTACACTGTACAATAATGTCATTTTATAAATTTCAAGTTACATCCACTGATCAAAAGCAGCTTGTAAGTTAATACTTATATTTTTTCAGTTTTTTTTTTCTTTCTTTTTTTCTTTCTTTTTTTCTCACTTATTTCTTTGGTATATTAATATATTTTCATTAGTCATATTATACAGAGTAGTTTCTGGATCACAACTAGGGTGTGAATGAGGAGGCGCCCAAAGCAGTATGTGTAGTATTTAATTGTTTGAAATTTTCTAGCTAGTTGGATATTTTTATAGTCTGCATGTTCATAAGTGTGATGCCTTTCTATGCAGGTACTTATACTTAGTATCTTTCCTTTGTCTGCAATGTGGGTACATCTCACATAGAATTGATTGTGCATCTTGCAATTACTAGTTACCATTTCCAAGCCCTCACTCATTCTCCAGCAGTATTATAGTATATTGATTTTTATATTCTTACTTATTTTCTACCTTATTTGTATTTTTGTAGCCTGAGGTACACTTTATTTTAGATTTTGTTGAGGTATTTGAAGAGTACACTTTTTTCATAAACAGTGCTAAAAATGTTGAATTAGACTGAGATCAGTAATCAGTCCAGTATAAAGCTACAGTATTGTACTTGTTTAGCATGATCTCATGTGCATGGAAGCATTACTTGCCATATTCTGACCTGTTGTTTTAGGTTGCTTTGCTCTGTGTGATATGTGGCAGCAGGGGAGCAGTAGCGCTCTCCAGACTGGACCTCAAACGGGAACTAACCTTGCCTGAAGAGGCCAGAAGTTTTGTCAGCAGTTGTGAATATCTTCTACTTTCATTATTGGTGAAAGAAAGCTCTTAAACTGGTTCTTGCACAGTATGATGATTATAATTTTTTATGTTCATCCACTACCCTTACTTTGAATTTTATTGATTGTTTGGATTGCTACATACAAATTGTTATTATTATTGGTAATGATTGTAATCTATTATGCTGTGTGGGAATTAGTCCTTCTGTCTTATTTTCTATTTTTCTGAGTATATGTTGCACTTTAATTTCATTGCACTGCACCTGAAATGTGTGATGATATATTATCTTGCCTGGCTTGTTTTCACTCTTATTGTCCTGTTACCATATTTGGAATATTATAATTTATTTGTGATATCCTGATTAAGAATATATAATTTTAAAGATTTTCTTGTTTATATATAATTTCTAATACCTGTAATTCCAATATCATTAGATTAATATATTAATTGTTTTGATGTATTTTAATGATTACCAAGTGAACTTTAAAACATATTTGCATATGATGACAGGTCCAGTGATGTAAGTTGTCTCGTTAATATTATCGTGTGTGCATGTTGTATCTTGCAGGGGAATGTCTGTGGTGTGTGCAGTTGGCTGACGTCATGCCATCATATAATGCTGCTTAATATATATAACAGAAATTATAGTAAAAATAAGAAGTGTGTCAAGTATTATTATTATTATTATTATTATTATTATTATTAT